GTGCACCAGCCAGGGTTCGGGTCGGTCCGCAGTGGGGTGAATGCGAGGCAGGCAGGGATGTTTCTCTCTCTCTCTGTAAAAATCCATAAACGTCCTCAGGTGAGGTTTAAAAAAATTTAAAGAACGACACCAAAAAGCAAAAACAAAACATTGCTTTTCAAAGAGACGTTCTGTGCAGACGAGACACGGGCTCTTCCTTCCCGACGTTTACTTTCCGCCTCGAATGGGAGACGTTGGCTGGCAGTGAAATTTTTGAGGGTAAAAGTGAAAAGTAGCCATGTTTTATTATACTTATTTTTTAAAACTTAGAAAAGATGCAGGCCAGTAGTAAGCTGTTCTGAAAACTGTACAAAATGGGAGATTTCCTTTGTGGTCCAATAAAAACTTAGCGTATGACCTTAAACTGTTTTCTGTGTGTCTACAAACACACACAGCCTATAGTTTTCCCCACAAATTGCCCTTTTCTTTCCTTATAATCTAACAATAAAAAAGCAATTTACCTGCGTGCCCTCGTACACCCCAACGAGGTGAGATGTTCCTGTTCCTGCACTATTAAATTTGAGGCTCAGAGAGGCTAAGTGACTGCTCGAAGTCCCAGCCCCAGAGTTTCCCTTAACTACTCTGCCATCTTCCTGTGACTCATGAGGTTTAGAATGATAGTCTTACAGCTGGAAGAAACCTAATATCTTCAGGGTAAGGGAGCTAAGTTGATTCTAGAACATTTCTCCTTCTGCCCAGAGCTCCCCTCTTGATGGAGCCAGTAGCTGGGTGGGGTCAGGGCCGTGCTGGAGGCTGTTGCTCTGGATCCTCTTCTGGCCTCTGGTTCTCTTGGTATCTTGGCAGAGGTCTATGAAAATGGGGCCTGGTGCTTCCTGGGAAGGCTCCTGTTGAAGCCACTTGCATGACAGAGGGCCTGCCCTTGGATTTCGAAGGAAGGGCACAGGAGGACCAGGAGGGTACCATCTAGCTCCAAAAGCACGGGGAAGGGCTGCCGAGACCGAGATGGATACCATCTAGCTCCAAAAGCACGGGGAAGGGCTGCAGAGACCGAGATGGATACCATCTAGCTCCAAAAGCATGGGGAAGGGCTGCCGAGACCGAGATGGATACCATCTAGCTCCAAAAGCATGGGGAAGGGCTGCAGAGACCGAGATGGATACCATCTAGCTCCAAAAGCATGGGGAAGGGCTGCCGAGACCGAGATGGATACCATCTAGCTCCAAAAGCATGGGGAAGGGCTGCTGAGACCGAGATGGAGCTTCAAAGGCATGAGGGCCTGATCTGGCAGGGCCTGGTAACCATGTTTACAGGTTTGGTCTTCATCCTAAAAGCATGGTTTACCAGACATATGGCTTCCACTCAGGAGGCCTCCCGTGACTCTTAGGTCAACTCTGAGTAAGTCTCTTAGCTGGTAGCCCTCCTTGAAGACAGTTGCCATCCCTTCTGAGTCTTCAGGTGGATTAAGGTAGTGGTGAAGAGTTTAGGCACCAGAGACAGATTAAGTAAATTCTGAATCCCAACTCCTAGTCGGTAGCCATGGGACCCTGGGCAGGTCATTTGAACCACCCTGTGCCTCAGCATGCTCATTTGTGAAATGAGACTAATTGTAGTACCTGCCTCACAGGGATTCTGTGAGGATTATCCGAGTTAATATAGGCAAGTCTAGAACAGTTTCTGGCTCCGAGGTTTTGCTCCACGAATGTTACTTCTTAATTTTTATCATTGTGGGTGTTATCACAGAGATTGCTGAGAAATATAGACAGCACCTTTATCTCAGCAGCTCTGTCCATCCAAACCCCAGTGCCCGTCTGACTCACCTCCTCCTGCTTCTCCTACGAGACTCAACTTTGGTACCATTCTGTAAGGGAACATTCCCCCTCGTCCCTTACTCCTCTGTGAGTTGGGTCCCTCACTTGTGCCTGTATCTTTCCTGGTACTTACCCACAGGCTTTTAGTTGCCTCCACTCTCGGACTGTAGACTTCTTGAGGCCAGAGACTGTGGGTTTTGTTTGTGATTATTATTTTTGTCTTGTAATTACCTTTACTTTTATTCTCTGTATACCTGAGACCTACTATATAGCAGATGCTTAGTTGGTGAGTGCATGGAGTAAATAAATGAAAGTAAGGCCTCAACGTGATCACAGGGTCACTTTTAACCTACTTAACGGAACAGATTATTTTGAAGCGCATGGCGGCATGCCAGTATGTAACAACATGCCCCTGACTGACTCATTGCTGACAACACTTGCTACATATTGGTTAGGATTACTATAGTGTAAAAGTTCAATTTTTAAAAAGGTTATCATTCAGAGTAATTCATGCTGCCCTTCTAGTCTTTTGATGAAATACTCTCCAGCAAGGTTTCTCAGTCTCAGTGCTATTGAGATTTGGCTCCTGTAGTTTTCTGTTGTGGGGCTGTCCTTTGTCTCGTAGGGTGCTGAGCAGTATCCCTGCTCTCTACTCACTGAATGTCGGTAGCACCCTCCCCTTAAGTTGTGACAATCAGATCTGTCTCCAGATATTGCCAAATGTCCCCTGGGGAACAAACTCCCCCCTGATTGAGAACCTCTACTGTACTGCCAAGAAAATCATGATGATTCTTCAACATCATTACTAAAGGCAAGTTGCTTTATAGTAAGTTACAAAAGAGTTCTTGGCAATTACATTGGAAAGCAGTTTGACTTTAGCTCCTGATTTAAGAATGGAGTGGATTTTATTTTTAGTTTGTACAGAATTTTGGCATTTGCTTTTTTAGCTTTCTGTTTAAAAATTCACTTGCTGCACGGTCGGGCGTGGCTCAG